AGCCGCATGGTATCCGCAGGTTTCAGAAAGACAAAATTTAAGTGTTTTCATGACCTAAATTTAATCCAGATCTACTTTTTAGTGTGGATCCACTAGACCAAATATTATTTAAATACATAATCAGGGCTCCAGAGTGCGACCAAAATTTTTAAGAGTGTGACTAATAATTTTTCTAGGTCGCACTGGTGCACCTGACGCTGCCCGGGTGAAAACATATATTTATTTCACAAGCGCATCATCTCTCTGTGTTCTCCTGTGACCGAACTCACACACTCATGGTAGGATCATATCGTGTTCTAAACCAATAAGAGACAGAGCTCGGGCGGGTGTTGGCCTCTGATTGGCTGTGGTGACCGTATGGCATTAAAGGCGACACAATGAAACATTTGGGTGCACCTAAATTTTGAGCTGGTGCACCTAAAAAAAAAAAAAAAAAAAGTTAGGCGCACCAGTGCAACCAATGCAAAAAGTTAGTCTGGAACCCTGAACATAATATTATATTATATTCAGCATTAGTTACTCAAACAAGACTAACAGTATGCAGCCATGCTAGCCACTGTGCCTGAGCTAAATGCTTACATCGCCGTCCTAACATGCTTACAATGAGAATGCTAGCATATTGATGTTTATCAGGTACCATGTGTTTACGATGTTCTCTCACACAAGTATCTATTAACTGTATCCAAAGGTACAGTGTGAAAGATAGGAGAAAGCAGAAATGGAATATAATATTCACAGTAATAGCGCAATGGTTCTTAGTCGATCTGTGATCCGTATGGACTGCATCGCACTGTTCGGCATACATGTGAACTACGGACCAAAGTTAACAGTGAACCCTTTCTAAAGTGATAATTTCCTAAATCTTATTGTGGAGTTGCAGTGAAAAGATCAACAAGACATATGTGTGTTGTGCTTTACTTTTAGTTGATTTAAAAGCCATCGCTTTCGCCTTCAATGACTGAAATCATGTAGGCTGTGACCTCGGGTGTAACTGGAAAACTGGGCATGCTTGTCATAGGAATAGATCATACGCACAGCAGCTTTCAGGACATTGAGTGAGACTATAGTGTGTAGTACTATACTGTATAGTGTAATGTACGTATGTGTTTGTGTATGTATGCATATATATATATTAACTCACACACATACATACACACACAGACTTTTTCCAAACCATTAATGGTGTATAATCACTTGTTCCCTCAGAATGAGGGTTTGTTTCTACAGTAGCCCAGAACAAACAAAACCAAACACTGGCTCTAGACAGGGCCTTTTGTGTTTTTTGTGAGTTTCGTGACCACCGTAGTTGCTCCTACACGCACACGGGTGAGGCGAGGGGGTTTTAATGTGACAATTCACTGCTAGATGCCACTAAATCCTACACACTGGTCCTTTCAGATATATTAATAATATTTTTAAACACTCCACTTCAGCATGACATCAACTTGACATCTGGTTATAAAACAAAAAGAAGGACAGAGAGAGATCTTAAATGAATGCATCCTGCATCACAAAGACAAACTGGCAAGAAACTGAGATATTAAAGGCCACACACACACACACACACACACACACACACACGAATAGTTTTAAATGTTCTCTTCTGACGCAGAGGCAGTTTGGAGGACAACTGCTACTGATGTTGTGCATGTGTGTCTTTGTGTCAGACAAAGACCTCTCTGTTTCATCAGCTGACAAATGTCACCAATGATGTCACTACTCCCTCAAAGCAATATTCAAAACAGATAAAGTAAAGCCTAAAAACAGAACACATAAAGACCACATTCTCTCCATTTCCTTTAAAACACACACATACACAATCACTAACACACACATCAAGAAAACCATGACACCAATGACCAACTCACACAAGGACACATATAAAGCTTCAAGTGTTATTTCGGAGATATTTGTCAACAGCAGAATCACCCACATAATAATACAATCCCCCACCCTCCTAACAGAGTTCCAGTTAAAAGAGTAAAAACAAAGGGATTTATTTGTAGCCAGCCAAACCCTTTTGAAAAACAACCCAGAGTTCATCTGGATCAGCTACAGACCCCCTGCTGGAGGGAGGCTGGCAACAGACTGACATCTACACACACATACCGATATTCACACTGTAGTTGGGATTTGTTAGTGACCAAGGCAGAGAGAAGGGGCAGTGAGAGAGATTGAGATCTATTTATCAACAATTATCAAAAAGACACAGAGGCTATGAAAGTGCCAGCATGTGTCTGAATCTGTGGTACTTACTCATTAACAACAAAACCCGTAATAAACCAATCATATGACACTGGTGGCCATCTGAATATACTGTCACAGTTGTAGCAAATGACTGTTTTTTTCACAATCCTCCTATTTTGCCTTTAAAAATGCCAGATTTGGTGTTGACCAAAAGTGTCAGTTTATCTGAAAATTATGGCTAAACCAGTTAAATCTACAGTGTTCCTGGTAGTATTAGATGAAGTGTAATCTAAGACTACATCTTCATCTGCTGTAAGACGAAGAAAAAACGCAAGACCTATGTTAAATATTTTGTTGAGTTGTGTACTTACATTAGGTTTACCAATTTTAACCAAATTAACCAATGTTTCCAAGCCAGAGAAATCTGTAATTTTATTCTGGTAATGATGCATTCCCTTGCTTCTAGTTGCTATAGCTTCCAGGTAAACACGGAATATGTCGGATACATTCGGAGTGGGGAACGTGAATAAAACTTTTATATGACTTGTCTATGAACATGATTGAGTCACGTCAGATAGATTTTCATCAGCAATGGTGGTTGTTTAACAATGAAAAAAAACAACTCCCATGATCCCACACTACTTCACAACATCCTATTTAGTTATTGTTGCGATGCGACTCCCTAACGGCAGTTTAGAAAATGGGCATGACACAATGTCGTGAATTATGTGAGGTGTCAAAATATAATTTTTGGTGGGTTACTATGTAACATGGACAATAATTAGCCCAGAAGGTTCAAGAACACTGTTGGAAATTCCAGTAACAAACATGTACAGGCACAAAACAATGCTTCAGGTTGTTTTCTTGACCACTAGTTGAAAAGCCAAAGGACTTGAACAGTGCGAGAACAACAAAGTATTATTGAAACCTGGAAAGCTCTAGTCTAGTCTAGAGAACACTCTTAATGTGTCTACAAGTTATTTACTTCCTTGCTTTGTGAAGCCATTAGTGTAAAGACACTGACATGCAGGAGGATGATTGATGGATTATCATCAGTGGAGGCCCAGCACAGTGGAATTAGTCTGTCGTAACCCTTTTTGACTAGCCCACTGAGAATACAGCCCATGGGTTAGTAGAGACACAGAGATCTGTAAACAACATGAAATTACACCATAAAAAACTGGGTGCACATGTGAGTGATGCTTGTGCATCTACACTCATGGAAGTGGTCAGGTCTATCTACCTAGGGCTGTTGCGGTGAAGGAATTTCCCCTGCTGTGATTGAAGGTTGCTCAACAGCGCTGTATGCAGCATTACTGGTATTATTACTTTGTAAGGGGTACAGCGGGATATCTTTTGTCTCAGTACTTGCTTGCACTAATGTGATGCTCTCCCTCCTCCCGGGTCTGTAACTCTGTTAAGTTAGTTAGTTAGTTGTCTGTGTTTTTATTTATTTATTTATTTTATGTTGTTGTTTGTTTGTTTTTCCAGAGAGAGTAGGTCAGAAGCTACCTAACGTGACAAGTAGTCTGAGCTTTCCAGGAAATGCATGTATGTCTTTATTCTGTGTTCTATTGATGTATGACAGATATGCAGAATGCAAATAACTGTTGAAATAAAAACTACAAGCAGCCCAAGACTTTTCCTAAAAAAATGTTTTTGATGTTTTCTGAAGACTTGAAGGTATTAAAATAAAATACACAAGATTCCTTCCACCTCTGACCACCACCACCAGTGTCAGACAGCTGGAGGCTGTGGTTTTATACCATTTTTAACCACTATTGATTCTCATTCTAACTTTTCTTTTTATTGCTTTGGAGTCTACTTGGACTCAACTGGAAATTATAGAACCATTTTGTATTTGAAACTTATTTTCTTGTGAAATAAATGATTCAACTTCAACAAGTTGTGTTTTGGAAACACCACAAACTTTTACCTGTTGAAGGTATCACCTTCAGGCGGGGTGACAGCAGTGGTGAGAATAACACAAACTTTGATATACTTAACTACACTGTAATACGATGGATCATTATATTAAAAGATTAGATCGTGACCAATCCTGTTGCCCTGTCAGGAGATTTAAATGAATGGTAAATAGACCGCACTTATATAGCCCCTTTCTTGTCAAGAATTCCCTCAAAGTCATACAACGATAGCAAAGTAGCAAAGCATCGTGAGCAATTTGGGGTTCAGTATTTTGCTCAAGGACATTCCAACATGCAGCAGGAAGAGCCAGAGATCACACACACACTACCTCTTGAGCCACAATCACCGACAATAACCAATGAAGATGATGCAGTGACTCATGCATAAATGTGCAGAGCATCTCACTTAATGGTGAGAGCTTCACCCAGTTTTCAAGACAAAGCGCGGCTAATCTGTGGATCCGCGGTGCCCATGGTTATAACTGCGACCTGCGCATCACATTTATATTTATTTATATTTAACATCACAGCCATAATGGAAAAAGTCTATGTATCTGTTTTTTTTCCCCTTACTTTCATGATCGAAGTCAAATGGAAGTGGAGCAAAAGGATTGACACCTGTTGGGTTTCTATTACATTTACATTTGAAGAACAAATAGCACTATATTCATACGCACATACTAACACCCTACTACACACATCCCAAGGAAGCCATGTGAAACTGATAAAATTAGAAGCACAGAGGGGCTCTGTTTAAGTGGCTGTGCAAAGAGAGAGCATGCGTGCACACACCATAAACTGAATAGCAGGGAAGCAGTGAAATTGAATTCACAGTTAAAGCTGAATATTTTATGAGTCATGTTCTCTGTTTGTGTTTCTGAATCCTACCCAGTGTTAATTGAAATGATTTCAATGAGAGGGTTCTTCCTGATCTTGGGCAGGTCCAGTCTGGCTCCTCCGAGCCTTCGGCCTCCATCTTTCTTCTGACCCAACAGACGAACTGAATGACCTGAAAACAACAAATAAAACTTCACTAAACGTTGCTTTTCAAACTGAAACATTAACTGCCAATGTCATCTTTTTCCCGTCGCACATGTGACACACGTGTGGAGGAGTGCATAGATTTAGGCATTTTCATGTTAAAAATGAATACATACAAGTCAGCTATATTAGTTTCTGTTTGAATTACAAAAACCTGAATTTTTCTACTTAACAGAACAAACAGCTGGAGGAGATTATTCACATTCATACAAGTGTTCATGGGCATACAAATAAAAGACGACAGAGAGATAACATAAAAAGACAAGTTCACTGTTTAGATGGCTGAATCACTTCATCTTTTTGATGTACAAACACCAAAATGTACAAACACATACTCACGTACCAAAATATATTTACATTTTCCAGTTGCCCAAGCATTCAACAGGAATATCATCCTCGAGATAGCCAAATAAAAGCCTTCATTAAACTGCTCTCATCTATTTAATAATGATGTTAATGTGAACAGGACATACAATGGACAGAGCAGCATATCAGGGCAGTCACAATGTCGTAAAAATATGTTTAAAAGGAAACTGTATAATAATAGGCACTTCAAATCAATTAAGGATGAATGTAAATAGACAAAGATGGAAGTAGGGCAGATCCTTTACCAACTGTGCACTCTAACAATTCTCAAACTAGTATCACTCATATTAGTAGATATCACAGTGAGTTACAGAAGCAAATGAAAATCCATAGCTGGGTCTAATAGCTAATAGCAAGTGATGTCTAGGCTTTGGTGTGCGGAAATGGGAAACAGTACTCTCTAACCAGCTAATAGGCTACCAGCTAGAAGGTGTGCGAGATGGAGGCGCTGAGGGATGGAATTGTCTTCCTGTTTTCATCCGCTTTACATGGGTCTCCTGGGAGGGTGGGCTCAGGGCAGGAAGCGTGGCTATCAATTGGTAGATAAAAATGACAATCTGCCCCAGAGGAGGACAAAGAGCCAATCGGTGAGGCGTGACTGGTCGTAATATCCCAGTACAACCAAGGAAATTAGAAAACTTCCCTCGTGGAAAACAGCTCTGACTTGGAGCACGCTCAGCCATGCTTTCTTCTAGCTAGCCATCTGTGTGGACCTGTGTTGGTCAGCAATCAAGGATTTAAAATTCATGCATGCTCTACTATTCTTCCCTCCGTAAGGGTCACTTCTTCTTTTGACTGATCGATCAATTCATCCATACAATAATACTTCCTATAACAGTTCCATCTGCTCCTTAACTACTGCTTTAAGCATTTAATCGGAAGTTGATTATATATTATACATTAACAAATGTACTATGTGAGAGAAGAAAGGAATTAAATACCAATGATGATGGCAAAAAGATGCACACTAAAATTTCATCCAGATTGTTGACATTATACATTTGTTTCTGATGGTTTTAACTGTGGAAAAATAAAGTAATCAATACCAAATAGCATACACAGACTCGGTATAAAGCAATTAGCAATATGATGCTGGATATCCAGACGTTTTTCCAAATTATGCGATTGTCCCTTAGGAAACGCGGAAATTGTTTTGGGGGGGGGCTCCAAAACTGTGCAGGGCCCCTGTCAATGCGACTGTCACCAACGACTCAGGAAATAATCTCACTACCAGCGTGGAATCACTCCAGGAGTCTGCCTAAAGCCAAATTCAATTTCAGGGCCTAGGGGACCATGAATGGGAAGCAAGAGATAAAATACCTAACTTGAGTTGTTGAAGAGAACCAAAAAATGCTGCCCTATTTGTCATCTCAATTACAGAGTTTAGAGAGGCAAACTGCTGTGATGGGCAACCCCACACACACACACACACACACACACACACACACACACACACACACACACACACACACACACACACACACACACACACAGACACTCTCTCTCACACACACACACACACACACACACACAGACTCTCTCTCTCTCTCTCTCTCTCTCACACACACACACACACACACACACACACACACACACACAAACACACACACCACCCTTTACAACATGTTCTAGTTACTCACTGCCCTCGTCCATTCCCTCAAGTTTTTTTCAACCTTCTCTCTCCTTTGTTCTTTTCTCTCCTTCATAAATACAAACCGACATAAATCCTTCTATCCACTGATAACGGCCTATTACAACAAGTGGAGGGAGGTGGAGGTAGGGAAAGCAAGGATAGATGGATGGAAAGGTAGATGGATGGATGGTTGGGTGATGATTGAAAAAAAAAATGCATCACAGATGAAAGATGTACAGGATAGCCAGATGGATGGTTGGATCAGAGAGGTAGGGAGCTAAAAGATTGACCTGTTGACCTGTGTCTGATGTCTCATAAGTGGTGGGTCTTGTTGTGCTCCCAGGTTTGATTGTAAAGCAGCAGGCAGGGGGATGGGAGCATATTGTAAAGGAGGGACAAAGGTGGCAGATGAGGAGAACAGGAGGGGTGTAATGCTTGTCATTTATCCTCTTGATATAACAGGTTATTAGATATGTACGACTGTCTCTGAAAAAACAGTTTATTTTCTTGGCAAATGTCAGTCAAATTAATATTGATGTGAAATGTCTGAAAAGATGCACTTCATGTACCTTACTTAGCAATTCTACGCTGTACCTTAATGCAAACATTTCAAAAGAGCACTTCCTTTAAAAACACATGAAGCCTTGATGCTTGACAATGAAGCTCCTCCACAGAGACTGCTTTTGTCACTTCCAGATGGGAGGTCACTTAGTATAAAAATCATCAGAATACCTTCAGATGACTTAGAACGCATGTGAATGCATCTGTTCTTCATTTCCCCTTCCTCCTGTCTAACTGTCTCTTTCTCTTCAGCCACATCTTTATACCCCTGCTTTATATTTTCAGGACTGATAGACGCCAACAGTTTGTTTATCCTGGTGAAACAAGGATCAAGAGGTTATATGGGTGCCATGTAGCCTCTGATCTGTAGCTAAGTAGATACATTAGCCTGTCTAACCTTTTCTGCCCCGTTTCTATGTCACAAAGACACACAATATATCTAAACTGTTCCTAAAAGATAAAAGAATATCAGGTGAAATTGTATCATCCAAGGCTATCATCTCAGTGAGAGAAGATCAATATTAGGAGGCCAATAAAGAAATAAAATGGACCTATAAAGAAAGAGGTAGGGCATTTATTAATTAATGGTGCAAAGATCAGACTTCAGTTGAAGTCTGCGTTGTTTTGAGTGAAAACATTAATAAATTTTTTTTTAGCCTTTCTGTGGGCTTCTACATACATTCTCTGCATTTCACTCGTCAAATAATTGATTGTTCTTGTGTTTTTGTTTGTTGAGCATCACTAAGATACATAAAATCTGGCTAGATGTTCTTGCAAAGGGTGTCATTAATTATTGTTTTTATGCATCTGCCAGTGGGCTTGGAATACAAGATAAGTATGTGTTTGTTGTTAGCAAAAAAAAAAATCAACATCTGGCATAGCTAAAAAAAATAATTGATTTGATTTGAAGCAAGCTTGTGACCACAGGAACAACACTACCCACCAAATCACTGACACTGCACAGTTCAAGCACCACAAGACTGGGCTGCAATGTGTATAACTACGTAAATGTTAAGTACTGTGTGCATGCTCAGCAACCCAACCTGAGATAACTTAAAGATAAAAATGCCCTGCCATTTACAGCAGGTAGTTACTTGAGCTTTATGTTAGGTAGATGCACTATGATTAAAAGCAGTTTTATAGTAGTGAAGTATCTTTATGGAGTGACCATTCTTAAGTTCTTTTTGAGCTGGGAACCAAACTGAATACAGTAGACAGTCTCACAGTCTCACACCTCCAAAACCAAGCTCATAAAAGCATACCACTGCTCTTGTCATGTGGAAAACAGACCTGCAAGCAATTTTGGTGCAGCAAAGAACTGCGTCTATTAGCAGTTCATTGAAGTAAGTATTTTAGTAGCCATTACGAAAGGCAAATCCCCTAGCTTTAAGGTTTATGCCCAGGCCTCCGAGCTGAAATAACAGCTCTCAGTTTATACGAGGTCATAAAGAACTGTAATGATACTGGGGAAATTAGTTTCTATGGAGGGGGTGAAGGAGGAAGGAAAAAGAGAGGGAAAGAGGGCAGAAGGGATGGAACAGGGCAGTGAGAAGGCAGAGGGAGGTAGAAAAAAAAAGCGACGGAGATCAAAAGATGCTCAGGTACTGGAGGAAGAAGGAAGGGAAGAAAAGGAAAAGAATAAGCAAGTCAGAGAAGAAAGCGGGACTGAAGTCAGTGTGTGGATGTGAGTGTGTGCATGTGCAGCCAGACGATTTAGGGTTGATGACACATTGTAAAATTAAGTCTCAGTTCAGCTGTCCTTCATTAGAGTGAGGCCTGCAGTGCAAAATAGTCCCTCATACACACACACGCACATAAAGTGTAAACTCAATCTGTTCTTTATTAGAGAACAGCTGGGGGTGTATGACAGCTTGACTGGACACTCTCACACTATAAACTCTGCCTGACCTTCATTAAACAGTTAAGTGCGGTGGTTCACTAACAGTTTAAATGGATGACCTAATCACTGCCATGTGAGTCTGTCTCGCTGTCAATGAGCTTCTCAGACTGAGAAGACCACTTAACAGAGGGCAAGACAGACAGGATCTGATCACTTTGCTTTTAAATATATTGTGACCTGAGCCATGAAGTCAAAAATAAGTTTTGTATGCAGTTTGTTTCAAGAAATGTACAATCCTTTAAACCATGAAAAAGCAGTAAATCAAGTCACTCTGCTCTTGAATATTAAACTTTAACACAGAGAACATACTCTTGTAGCTCTTTGCACTTTTAACAATACTGAATTTCATCAGTCAACACTCTAGCAGGAACAACAATTGCTTAGAATCAAATGTTTCATTGGGAGAAAGCAGACCAAATACTCCCAAAGCCCTTATCATTTGATTATATGATTTTCTACAAGAAAGTGATATATTCTTACTCTTGACAGTCAAGTCATCCTTAGTCCTCATATTAATCAATAGGTGGACAAACTACTTCTCTAAAAATCATTCATACATGGAGCAAAAGCTCAAAAACGTAATTTCCTCCAAAAATGAAAGGACTCTCATTCATTAATTTGCCGATCAATGCATTGCTGCTTATTCACTCACACAATGAGTGCTTTTTGTTTGTGTGTGTGTGTGTGTGTGTGTGTGTGTGTGTGTGTGTGTGTGTGCACGCATTTGTGTTAAAATACCTTTAACAGCCTCATCCACTACTTCCACCACTCGATCAATCTGTTGGACCTGTATACAGACAGACACACATGGGAGAAGTTTATTGATGCTGACAAAGTCTACACAGTACAAACAAACATCTGATATTGACAACCCACAGACAGACATGTACTGGTCACCATTCAAACATGGACATGTAAATGTACACAAAGGCAATATGCAGTATGCACACAGACAAACAGATGGAATCACACATATTTCTCCAGCCAGGATTAAGTGATATAGATCAAAATGCCACTAGGTATCTATGTAGCTGTAACACCAATTATATCATGTTTCTACAGAAATGTAGTGTGGTGGTACGATTTCATGGAAGAGAACAAAGACCCATAAACAAAAAGAGGTACAGAGGGTGGCAGACAGACAATCACACAGGTGAGAATAAACCAATGGGAGATTATGTGAGAATGACTAATGAGTTATTCTTTTCATTGCCTGCTATGGAGAAAATCCTACACATCTGCCAAGGGGAACTCCACCAGTTCATGTAGAAAGCCTATTAGGAGGTTGAGCTGGACACACGGCCCAGGACGGGCTTTACAGGACAGACTCTGCAGTGGCTGATTAAATCCAAAGATCATTGGCACTTTTTTTTGTTTTATTCACATTTACTCAATAGTTTTTTTTAAAGTAGCATAAAATGGAACTATATACATTTTATTCTACAATTTTGCATTGTAAATGACAATTAAAAAAACCTTTCATATGAAAAGAGCCAGAATATTCTACTAAGAACAGCACTAATTTCACAACTCTACCATCCTACTGCTAATCAGGGGTAGAGTGGATGAGAGCAAGCAACAGAGAGGAATGGAGAGAGATTAAGTAATGGGGAAGGGGAAAAAAATAATTTCTCCTGACATTATTTCTCCTTTCATTCCTCCCAGCATCTCCTCCACCTCTAATTCGCTCACTTTCTCTATTCTTAGAGGTCTATGCTTGAGCCGCTGGCACTCGTTTTGAATGCCTCTAGGCCTATTACCCAGAGTAACCCTTCTTTCATACACACTCACACAGATGCACATTACGCTTTGCAGGCAGTAGTTATATTCATGCTACACACTGAGATAAAACCCTTTTTCTTCTAATGGCCAGGCAATCTGGGTTCATTCAGAGCAGCAGCGGGTGTCCCTACTCACAGTAAGGGTTGGGAATTGTTTACATTTTAGCGATAAATTCAGAACTCACTTTTTAATTCTGGTTCTTATCGAATCCTGCTTTATATACCTGGATAATTGTTTGAATAAGAAAATAGTATATGTTAGAAAGACAAAAAAAACATAGTTTCAGTAGATCTATTCTTATTCTTTTTGGTTAGAAGTTAAAATAGAGCAAAATACAAATACAAAAAAATCACAAGTGGAATGTTTGCCAAAAGGTTCAATTAGGTCCAGTGTGTATAGAGCAGACAGAAGTCCACTCTAACCCAGGCATACATTTACACACACATTTACAAAAGCTATCTCTAGCCTAAGAGAGAGAGCACCTGTAGTAAGAACTGTTTCAAAAGCTGGGCAGTCATGAGTAAACACTGTGGGTGAGAGAAATGTATGTCTTATGAATAAAGGATTTAAAAGAAAATAAAAATGTGAAAGCAAAACTTTAGAAAAACAGTGTATAAATTCTACAAAACCCAAGGAACAATAAATTAATTTTGGTTATATTTTATTTGTGTAACATTATACACAATGATGAGTAGTGTTAAGTGCATATAATTTGTGAGTAATTGGACAAAAATTTTCACACAGTATCCACCATGTAGCACATCCAAGGCATGCATACAGTATGCTCAGAAGACTGATGTGCGTGCCATGTTTATAACATTGCTTACCCACTGTAATCCTTTTATTACCTAGCCAGCACTGTGTATGTGTGAGTGGATGTGTGTGATGTGTCTCAGATACAGGATGTGACATGTCTAGTTCAAAGATGCGAAACACTGTAGGCTTGCGTGACTGACTATGTACCTTCTACACAATACACTGTCATTCATTTCACAGCAGCTTCAGAAAGAAAAACACAACAGAAATACACATAAAAGCTGACACAGAGGTCGATTAAACTGAATGAATTCAACAGGAAGCACTTTTTTTTTTAGCTACAGCCCTTATCTAGCCGTTAGTGCAATCACTATATACAAATTCAGGAGTGGTTATTTGCATCTAATTTGCATAACCCACCAACTGTCACTGTCATTGTGTGGTTGATTGTAACTACCAAGGATGCGCAAGGGGAGTGTGTGCATACTCTGTCTGAGTTTGTGTGGCTGTTCATGCATGCGTCCATCAGTGTGTGTGTCTGTGTTTGTGTGTATAAATGCATAATCCAATCTAGTCATGACAATGAAAGGGCCGACAGTGGTAAACTTCGCAGATGTTTCTGCCTCGCCCTGAAGGCTATTACATGTACAAACCTGTTTATCTGAATGTAATTGTATTATACATACACAACACTTGATTTGAATGTAATTATGTTACAGGGTGGCATGTTCACTTAAATGGAATTACATTATTTATGGTAACGGATATTTAACGTAACATTTGAGATACATGCCTCTATTATTTTTAAGACAGTGACAGTAATCAACATTAGATATTGGACTGTTTCATTTATTCTTATTTTCAACTAGGCAGTTTGTTTTTACATAAGTAAATAAATTCAGCATTATGCAAAATTAAGATCAAAGTTTTCTGTGGTGATTTAGAAGGAAAGCATAGTTCTGTGAGCATGAAGTAAACAAAAGAATGCGTGCATATGTTATGTTACTTCTAAATTAACCAATTGTGTGGCTTTCCTAGACATGCAGGAATTGGAATAAATGTCTTAATTTTTATGTTTTAACACACTGTTCAACTACAAGGGATATTTTAACAACTTAACATGGTTTACTCATATGTTTTTCATTAATTGTTTTGTTTACATCATTACTTGCGAGACTGAAGTGACAATAATAAAGAAAACTATATATTTACCCTCAACTGGACCCTTTGGTTTTAATACACAAGTGTTAGATTTAAGACTGGAGATAATTTTGCAGGGTGCTGGAAATTGGCAGGAAATTCCAAACATTAACCCTCCAAACTCTCTAATTACAAACATCATCAATGATTTAATGAAGAATACTCATTTAGCTGTTAAATTGTGATAACCTTGACACATCTTTTTAGTTCCTCCTGTGTTTACTGAGGTGAAACAGTATTCATTCATTCAATATTTTTTGAATATCACAGTTTTTCATACAGTCCATTCAAACCTGCACCACATGCTTATAAGTGGAAAAGTTATAGCACAGGGACTGTAATCCAAAATAACAAAATGCCAAAATCACTTTTTTGTTTGTTTTACAGTAGACTGTTTAGACACTGCAAGGCAAATAGCCCTAATTTACCTACTTAACAGGCTTAAAAGGATGTTTTCTCCCCTTCTGTTATATCTGAATATTTCTATGAATCCCAGATGAGAACTGAGTTTTCCCTTTAAGCTATACCACATTTTGTGTTATCTGTAAGCTCTGCTGTCACACTCCACTGCCTCAATAAAAGAAACACTACAGGAACAAACTGTCCAATGCCACCTTCAAAGAAAAGGTCATTTGCCATAGGGAGGTCTAATGTATGGAGAAAGACAGAGGTAGGAAGGGTCAATATACAGTGGCTTGTAAAAGTATTCAACCCTCTTAAAAGGATTTGTCTGAATTACAAATGAGACAGTTTTTTTTCTTTGTACTATTTTATTTTAAAACACCGCACTAAAATTAACTAGGCCTATTTTAAAGCGATGTTGGTTTAATGTTCAGTAATTTCAGCTCAAAAGTTTTTGAACCATGAGTCAGCCTCGTGGTGGACTAATGGAGCTCAACATTTATTTTGATGAATTTACAGCTTCAAAAGACAAATGTGCTATTACCCCCTTCCCGACATCCTCTGAGATTTATTTTCCTCTCGGCTAGGGCTGCACAATGTGGCAAAAACATTGTATTGCAATTATTTTAAAGATATTGTGATATGATTCACGATTATTGCGGAATTGCCCTAACCTGGTATGGCTGACATGGCTTACAATTTTGTGCCACCTGATTGTATTTACCTGCTCGTTTAAAGCAACACAGCTCAGGGTTCACTAAAATTTTCCCCTACAAAAGATTATTTTTAATTTAGCATTTTTACCACACAATTGATTTCCTCCAAAAAATATGTTGAATTGATAAACATACACCTGTTATTTCATGTAAAAAATACTGGTTCTGATTAAATAAAATAAATAATTGTAAAATAATAGAAATCCCCAAATAGGAGGTTTACATACTTTCAAGCAGCACTGTATGCTGTTTGCATAAGTACTCAACACCCAAAAATATTGCCCTAATGAGAACACCATTGGCTTACAATTGGCCTCCACCTGTCAAAAGTTAAAATAACCCCTTAAGTTTAGGTATCACTGCTCAGATTGTGAATCAGAAGGAAAGGTGTTAACATGAAGATTATGGAGATTTTTAAGGAATCTAGAGATGGCACACACAAATTAGTGTGTTGAATATCCCAGTGAGCACTGCTGGACCTGTGAGGGAAGCCACCAATAGTCCAATGATCACTTTGAAGGAGCTACAGAGTCCACTGACCGAGAGTGGAGTGAAGGTGCACCATTCCACTAAAGCAAGAGCTTTGCATAAAACTGGTCTGTATGGGAAGTTGGTTAGACAGAAGCCATTGCCCAAGAGCAACCTCATTAAAGTCTGGAGTTTAACAGCTCAGATGTGGGACCAGGATTTGTGGTCATGTGAGACCAAAACTTAGCTTAGTCCAAAATTCAAAGCACATTGTGTGGCACAAACCTAAAACGGCCCATGTGTTCACCACACGGTGATCGGTGGTGGTGGCAATATCATACTGTGGTGATGCTTTTCCACAGCAGGAGCTGGGCATCCTGTTAAAACTGAAGGAAGAAGGGATGGAGCAAAATACATGGACATACTTCAAGAGAATCTGCTTCAGTCTGCTAAAAAAATAAAGCTTGTGAGAAAGTTCACCTTTTAGCAAGGTAACAACCCCAAGCACAAGGGTACAGTAACATGGGAGTTGTTATGAAACAAAAAGGTGTATGTTCGACAATGGCCAAGTCAAAGTTCTGATCTCAATCCAATTGAGAATCTGTAGCACTGTTTGAATATTGCTGTCATCAAGCGTCAACCTGAACAACCTGGACCAAACCTGCCAAGAAGATTGGGAAAAAAATCCCAAACTGCGTGCAAAGCTGGTAGACGTTTCCCAATTTTTTTTTATTATACTAGCTATTATTGAGGGGTTGAATGCTCAGAAATCAGCATTTTTCAGCTTTTCATTTTCTTTAAAAAATGTCTGCTGACAAATGGAGCGAAGCCTGCAAGCTAGTTCAGGCAGTCAACTCGAGCTGTGCTGATATACACACATGACATGCCTCACTCCATAATCACTAACCAAGCGCACCCTTCCAATCTGGCGGTCTATTTAAACTGCACAATTTCCCAGCTCTCCCTCTGCTCTGTCAATGCCGCTGTTGCCCTGCATCCGTATTGCTGCTGCTCTGTAAGCTATTGCTGTCTGCTGCGCTGTAAGCCCCACCACCACCCCAGCATCCACCTGTAGGGTTTAAGGTATTTGCTCATTACTCCCCAATATCTCTGTGTAAACATATCTGCGGGGAGTGATGAGGTCGGAGCCTAGACACCAAATCTAAATATGCTATACTGCTGTAATAAACATTTCAAACATGAGTTGGCTGATAACATTGGGTTTGAGTATATGGGTTTGCAATAAAAATACTGAAAAAATATGTGTAGGTATAACTTCTAAGGGGCTTGAATACTTTTGCAAGCCACTGTATCTTTGTGCATTAGTGGGAAATGTTATGCAAGGGGACAAGACAGCCATGTACGTGTAAAAATACATGCAAATTTGTCAACTAGATTGATGGCAGAGGGACATTAAAGACTTTGTCTTCCACAGATTTTCAACATTAGCTTCAATTATTTACAGTTGGACATGGGTATCTTTCACTTTAGAGGACAAAAGTAAATAAAAGTAAAAATGAATAAGGAGTGATATATGATATGATGTGAGCTGTTAGATGTGATACAATATATAACATATAAATATAACTTTTTGGGAGAATGACTGCCTTTCCATAATATATATTTCCTATATTATATGTACCCATTCAGATTCGTAGGGGGCTCTGATTATAGCCACTTCCTTCCTTTTACTTGCTACCAGAAGCATTTGTACCAATTTCTTATTACTGCTATTCCACCCTGAGATGTCATGTATGTATGTATACAGTTGAACATGTAAAAGGAATATCAACTTCAAATACATTATTTATGTTTTAATGAATCCCTTCTTCGTTTTCATCCTTTTCAACTACATCAAGCTGTTTCCCTTTCTCCTGCTCCCCCCTTCTACTCCCCATCTCTCATACTTTTCTCCCTCCTGCCATCATATATTCTTATGCCTTTTCTACTTCCTGCCATGTTCATCTTAGCAGTCTTGGTCTCATCTCCTGGAAGGTCTATTGATCCACCAAACGGCAGGGAGGCCAGAATAGAACAGACATAGCAGGTTGTCAGCCAGGTAAATGACCGGTCAAACCGTCTGTGTCTGTGTCTGTGTGTGTATGTGTGTGTGTGTGTGTGTGTGTGTGTGTGTGTGTGTGTGTGTGTGTGTGTGTGTCTGTCTGTACTCTTCAAAGGTTGTCCATTAGGCACACACAAATAGACACAAACAGTCACACGGTATGTGATGTATGAACAGATCCCTACATTACTATAGATCATATAAGTAAGTCGAAGCGCACACACACACACACACACACACACACACACACACACACACACACACACACAACACACAAACAAACACACAAACACACAAACACACACACCCACCCCAATGATGCTGAGTCCTTTGAGGTAGTCCATCCGCGGCTGGGCTTGAGGAACACAACCTGCTACTACCACCTTTTTCTGCTGATCCTGGGCTTTTCTGTACAAACAAATGCAAAGAAAAAGATTGAAGAGGAGACTAATATTAGTAAATATTCATGTCATTTTTGCACCAACAATTTTAACCAAGTGAAAAATATTACAGTAAATGTGCTGGTACCACACCAGCACAGTGCTGTCTCACAACTTTAGGTCAAACTTTTATTGTAATAGGAAAGCACATGTACACGTACATGTACACATATTAAATAGCCTGCAATGACAGAGCCTGTCTGCATCCTGTATCAATGGAAAAAATACCTTAGAAGAATAATAAATAAGGTGAGGGTGGCAGGATTTGCTATCTAAATTAAGAGGAAATGAGTCACTCTCTGAGGTGTAGAGAAATCACAGGGCCAGTTGGCTGCACATCAAGTACTTCAAATATATGACAACGGACAAAATTAAGACTAATGACGAGCCAAGGCAGTAGCCGATCCAGTGTATCGCTAGCTGAGGTTTGTTAGTTTCTAGCTTCAGAAGATGACCAGCCCATTACCACCTTGGTCGAATGAATAGTCGGCTTCTCATTTCCCACCACTGGTCTCTCAGTTACAATGCTGCTTATTAGATCAGTACTTAGCACTGGCAAGGATACAGCCTCCATCACCTTCTCATTAGCTTTAATTTTGTCTGTTATCCTGCGCCATACAGATACTTGTAGTATGTCAGCAATGGTCCATGTGAGAAAGGGACATGATGTTCTCTTTCTGTGAAAGTTTCCAAATACAAGGAGAACTTTTTATGTTTTCACCAGTGAAATGTAAGCCATTTCCTCCTAAAATGTCCATGACAGATTTAAGAAAACCGTACTCAAAGTGACTCCCAGATTCAGGTTGTTACACATGTCAGATACATATAAGAGAGGTATGGCAGGATATTTTCTAAATTTTGAAATAAGATGAAAACCACTTGTGGTATCTGTGATCAACAGAAGATGCAATAATCAATCAGTTCAAACTTTTCTGGCATTTCATACATTCTTCTCTGTGGTGTTTTGCTGGGTTGTAAGTTTGACTGACTGAAAGCCAATATGGACAACTATGATTGGCAACTTAGGTTTTTGAATGGGCATTGTATATTGAGTAAGTAAGTAAGTTGTGGGAGATAGGAAGGCTACCACAGCTTTGCAATTCCAACTTCAATTATCTAAAAAAAAAACAGTCAGACTAATGACCACTATGCCCCTTTAAATGTTCTGTACTTGTACTCTGTACTGCATTGTGTTATATCATATTTTAACTAATAAACACAGAAGCTAGAGTACAGCAAGTGACAGCTCTCCACTGAGCCACAGAGATTGCAAAAAGTCTGACATTTAGGGAAGAGCTGGTTGGTATGTGAGCATGAGAACAGCAGTAGAAAGTCAATAGCAAGGTGATCCTTGCCAATTTATGGTCAAGCATAAAAGTCCATGTTAGCACTGCACCCTATAAATTGTCCTTCTGGCTCTTTAATCCCCTTGGAACCAGATGAAAAGATATGTACATTTTGTTTAATAAGTAGAATGGGTTTTGGAAATGGTTCTGCTATACTGTACATGGTGTAATGAATACATACGGTTTAATCAATATATACATACATACAATACATTATATGCGCCTGTGAGTGCATGTGGAAAGGCGAGACAGTGCAAGAGTAAAAGTGGCAGACAGACTATGGGACAAGTATGACAGTGAAACAGTGCAGTCTTAGTCTGACTAAAGAATCAGTAAAACATGAAACACATGTTTTTTCTGACAAAACAGTTCACCATGGCATCTAACATAACCAAGCCAAAACTGGGGATTTATAACACCGTGATAAGTGTCAAACATTTTCATTCAACATTTATGAATAGTTAGGCACGATGTGAAGTGGTCACTGGCAAGAGAGTAAGCACTGATAAGGTATTTTACAATTACTTATTAGAAATTAAAAGGTATTAAAAATCCCATTTTCAAGATGATTTAAATTAAAAAGGACTGGACAGCTAGTTAAATAGTGTAGCAAGCCACAAGAAGAGTGTGTGTATTTGTACTGTGTGCTTGTGGATCTATGTGAGTTTTTATGTCACCTCCAGTTAGTGGCAATGAGATTTGAGACACTCGGTCTGTCTGACAAAAGCTTTTGGAAGAGCTGCCCAGACTCCGCCATGAATCTTTAATAATGAAGCCTCCTGACAGCTGGAGCAAGAGAGGGAGGGAGGGATGGAAGGGGGGGGGGCAGAGGAGAACGCAGGAGGAGCACTGAAACTGGATGCAAACTGTCAGTTGTGTTTTAATTCAGACTATGTTTGTATTCTTCAGTAAAACAAAGAGAGATAGTGATGGAGGTAGAGGGGGTGTGTGAGTGAGCACAGAGACAGAACGGGGAAGGTAGACAGCTCAATTCAATTCAAAGCCAGCCTAAATTGTCATATGAATGAGGAAGGGAGGGATAGATGAAAGCTACAGTTGGTGAGAGATGAGTAGAATAATGAAGGGGAGAGAATGGAAGGCAGAAATGAAAGTGTTTTATGATTATTTTTACTATTCAGAGCTGTTTGTATTTTTCATGGTTATTTTAGTGACTCGTCTCATCTTCGCTTCTCAATCTGACTCTTTATTGGCATACAAGTGTTGAGCAGGTAACAACAAATTTCTTAAGATGCCAAAAAAGATTAAAAAAAGAAAGCCTGTTGGATATGATGCCTCACCAAAGACAAAACAGTTTTAACAGCACATTCAGAGAAACTGTGCTCCTACTGATCGAGCATGTAAATTCACTAGTTTTGTATCCACTGAACATTTACCTTTGTTACAGAAGGTAACAAATAATATCCATGTCACTGTGACCGTTTCTGGTGTAAACAGACCTTGAAAACAGACAGAGGCAGAGCAGTACTATGTAATAAAAGGTGGATATACTCAAACTTTCAAGACTGGGGAAAGTTAGACGACAAAAAAAAAAAAAAAAAGGATATTATCTGCTAGGAGTAGCTTGTTCTCTCCACACGGTTCCTCATGAAGGACTCACACTGGCATCACTGCACACCCACACTCACACGCGCACACGCACACAGTAGGGGTGCGTCTGCATAATTCACACCGTCTCCTGCCAAAATGCACCAAACGTTCCTTTAATGTGCTACTCGCTCCCCGCCCACAGACTCAGAGCCATAGCTGACACAGAGAGTAAGCAGACAGCGCCTGAGCCGTCGCCTCAGCGCCCCAGGGGGAACAGGCCAATCACGTCGCACACAGTTGGTGGATGGGATGAGATGGAATGGGATTATGCGATGCAGTTGCCGTGGTGATACTCTTGAGCCCAACCGAGCACTCGCTGCCAGTGACCCGGACCAGAGCAGATGCCCCCTGAGATCAGAGGACGAGGGGTGGGTGTGTGTGTGTGTGTGTGTGTGTGTGTGTGTGTGTGTGTGTGTGTGTGTGTGTGTGTGTTTACTTGGCTTCCTTGGCACCTCGCCCCAAAATACGGCCCCCTGTCAACTCTACGTTACTGCTCTCCATGGCCTCAAGACCACACACATGCACCCACACACAGGGTCCGAACACCCACGTGCTCTGTACATACACAATACAATGGTCACGGATGGCATTGGCAAAAGTGTACAGCAGCCTATGCATACATGCATGACCTCTGTAGTATGTATGTATGGTAGGGAGGGATGTGCTGTACATATTGGTTTTTAACAGCTGAGTGGACACACAGTGAATCAGTCAAATTAAACCAGACTAAATGTCCAAATGAATTGATCAGGTTGACTTGGACCTTGCCGTAAACATGACATTAAAATAACTCTAGGCATTAAGATGTACCACACTACATGACCTATATAAGGGCCTCCTCAACGTTCTCACAATAAAACCTGAAGTGAAAGAAAGGCCCTTCCTCTGTGGATTATGACAGTCTACTATAGTGCCATTTACATGACTGCAACTGAAATATAGAGACATCATCATATAAATGAGCCACAACGCTGATGTTCTCGAACTGCCACAAATGCCTCATATCTATCTCAGTGTTTTAGAATATGACCAGCTTATCCTTTTTTCTTAAACTGTAGTAGTGTTTTATATAAACAAGTTTTTTCTGCTATGCACTAGTACTGATGAATTTAGTCAATTCATCCATGGTGCCTTGTGTCTCCATTAAAAAAAAAGGTACCTCCATTATCCATTAATTCCACTAACTCCAGCAGAAACACCTAATATGTCATTTTAAGTTGTGTAGAAACCAAGACAAACAATTGAGGCACAAAGACCTGGAACCTCATCTAATGAAGCACAATTTCTTTAGTCATTATTTTGAGGAGAAACATCCAAAACAGGCTAGCAGCTGTGAACCGTGTGTGTGTGTGTGTGCATGTGTGTGTGTGTGTGCATGTGTGTGTCCTCTCAATGACTCTCCCTGCTGTTAAACACCCTCAGCCCTATACAGATAGCAACATGGGGGGGGGAGAGAATGAGCTCATCTCTCACTCTCTCACCACACACACACACACACACACACACACACACACACACACACACACACACACACACACACACACACACACACGGAGCTGGCCATATGCTTCTTAACAAACATGCTTAAAGGATGAGGTCATATTGGTAATAGTAATGAGGAAAGCTTGTGTAGCTGAGATGTACATATCTGTATCGTGATTAAGCTTTGTGTGTTTCTTAACACAATTACATATTTCTATGACCCATCCTATTAAGTTTTATGCTCAGCTTAATTTAATGTAAAAAAAATTGTTCTACAGCAAAAACAGTGCATTAAAATTATAGTAGATTAGAATCTAGTATAACTGATTTTTTTTCATTAAATCCCCACTTTCCCTATCCTCCTTCTCTTCCCTTTCCAATGTGTTCCCCTGTCCTTGTCTCCTCTCCTCCCTCATTCTCTCATCTGCAATCCGACAGTTTTCTGGCTGAGTTGACAGCGAGCCAGCCAATCAGCACACTCCTGACCTCTCTGCATTAGCATAAGCAGCAAGGGGCAAGGTTAAGCACCCAT